TAATATTCTTTTAATGATATCCTTTTCACTTTTTTTTCAATTAATTAATTTTCTGTTACAAAAAATTATATTAATTAATTGATCAATTAATCAATAATTCAATTACTTAATTAATTATTCAATTAATCTATTAATTATTACTATTAATAATAATAATAATAATAATAATAATAATAATAATAATAATAACAATCAATATATTTTTTTTATTTGATAATAATTTGTGTAATTAAATTAAATAATTTAATTTTTAATAATATAGGAAATTTTAATCAGAATTTAATGAAATTTTCTTCTCTTTTGCAGAATTTTTATTGTCGGATAGAATTTTTTGTTTAGTAGAATTTTAATGAAAGAAATTTCAATTTTAAATTGCTCTAATAATAATAATTTACGTTAAATTAAATTTTCATTGAACAGATTTTTCGTTTGAATAAATTCTTCCACGTTAGGCGCAATTATTAAGGCGTTTGACATTGTTATTATACATGGGTCAATAGTTCGAGACCCTCCATAGTTGGAAAAATTTTTATTCGAATAATCTGCTTTGTTCAATAGTTAATAAAAATAATAATTTATTAAACATTGTTTTTAAATCTATAATTTATCAAATAATATTTTTTAAAACTGTAATTTCTCAATTAATATTTTTTAGAAATTGTAATTTTTTTAACTTTATTTTTATGTAATAAAAAAATTAGTTTTTTTACATAATATTTAAAAAAAATATAATTTCTTATAATAGTCTTTTAAAAAAAAAATTTTTTTAATGAATATTTATAAAAATTGATTTTTTATTTTATAATTATTTTGTTAATTACGATTATAAAGAAATTTTTTTAATAAATTTTTATTTATTTTATTTAATAAATTATTTAATATGTTTTTACTGAAATAATATTTGTTTAGAAAACTTAAAAAAATTTAGAGTTGCAAATAAAGAAATAAATTACATTTTTAAAATAGTATGAGAAATTTTTAATCAGTAAAAAACTAAAATGGTTTCTTCGGGAAAGAAATTGAAAGGAAAAATAAAAAAGACACATGCTGACAATTGATACAATTGTATTTTTAATTGTTTTTCACTTTCGATAAATTATCATTTGTTTTTTATAAAAAGTTGTCAACATCCATATACATATAGTTGTGAAAAATGCCAATTTTTTCCACAAAATTATTTTTGTACAGTCAAGAGAATTAATTATAGTTTTTTTTGGTATAAATTCTCGTTGTTACTTCCTTTAAAATATTTTTGAATATTTTCTTCTTTTTTGTAATGGTGGGCGAGGATAAAGGAGTGATCTGCTAACACTTTTTGTCTTTTTTTTTGTGTAACTGACTAATCCTTAAAGTTTTTTTTTTTTAATATAGTTTTATCATTTTTGTTTTTATTTAGAGGACGAATATAATTTTATTATTACTATTTTTTCGAATGACTTATTTCAGTTCTTTGAACGTAACTTCGCGTGTCACGTTTCTCTCAATTTGAGATTTACATTTAAGTACATCTTTATACAATTCGTGAAATTTAGAAGATTAGAAAAAACTACATAGGGAAATACCTAACATTGTATTATTATTGCTATTTTTTTTCTTCTTTTTAATTCACTAACTACCTCTAAATAAAATGTACATTTACATCAGTCGCACAACAGTTCGTCAATTCAAGAATCAGTGTAAACTTTAACTTCTTTGCTTCTAAAAGATCTAAAAATTAAATAATAATAATAGAACGATAAAATAAACGTTTATAATATTAATAATAATAATAATAATTATTATTATTATTATTACTATTATTATTTTTTAATAAAAAATTGAATTTAACGATCATTCAGTTTTTTATTAAATATTTAAAACAACCGATTTTAAATTAGAGTAACTATATTTTAGTTACAATTAACTAGAAAATATAATTATTATACAAAAATTATTTCACAATGATATTTAAATTAAAATAAATTTGTTAGAAAAATTTTGAAATAAAATTTGAACAGAAAGTCGATTTTTTTATTTCTCTCTATTTTTTTATGCATTTTTCATAAGCAAAAGCTTACATGACTCTTGTGTTACGAAGGTACTTAGAATTTATTTTTTTTATATTAAGAGGGCTTAAAGGCATTATCAGCATTTTTTGCTTCAAGTCCTCTTGAGGGTTGGATACATAGATTTGAAGGATGAAAGCTACAAACTTTTCGTTGAGATAAAAAGCAGACTTTTTCAAATAAACACATACATGTATAATATAGTTGAGTTGACGACTCGAAACTTTCTCACTGTCCACATTTATGTATTAGTGTTTCATTTAAACAAAAATAAACTTGTTTTTTTTGTTAGTGAAAAAAACAAATAAGAAACAGTATTAATAAATGATATAGTAACTTTTTTTTATTTGACATAAAGAGCATTTTTGAAAGATTTATTAATAGAATATAATTTATTTAAACAATTTTATTATTTATTTGACCCAATGCGATTTTTATTATCGGATGATAAAATAGATTTTTATTATTTGCTAAGTAATAACAAAACGTTTGCTATTATTTAGTAACAAAAATATATTTGTTATTATTTATCAACAAAATAGATTTGTTATTTTATTTAGTAACGAAAAATACTTGTTATTTAATAACAAAACATATTTGCCATTATTTAGTAACAAAAGATATATTTGCCATTATTTAATAAACACCAATAAAATTGTTATTATTTAGTAACAAAGTATATTTGTTATTTCTTATTTCTTATTATGTAATAACAAAAAAGATTTGTTAATATTTTTTACCAAAAAATATTTGTTGCTATTTGGTAACAAACCATATTTGTTATTATTTGGTAACAAAATATATTTGTTATTTCTTATTATGTAATAACAAAAAATATTTATTGCTATTTAGTTACAAAACATATTTGTTGCTATTTAAGAACAAAAATATATTTGCTATTATTTAGTAAAAAAAAATATTTATTGTTATATAATAACAAAAGATTTGCTACTATTAAGTAACAAAAATATATTTGCTATTATTTAGTAAACAAAAATATATTTGTTATTATTTAATAACAAAACATTTTTTATTATTCAGTAACAAAGTATATTTGTTATTATTTAATAACAAAATATTTGTTTTTATTTAATAACAAAACATTGTTTAGTTATTTTCTAACAAAATAGTGGTGGTTATTTAGTAACATAATAGTGGTTGTTATTTCGTAACAAAATATTTGTTGTTATTTAGTAACAAAATATTTGTTATTATTAAGTAACAAAAAAATTGGTTGTTATTTAGTAACAAAATATTTGTTATTATTCAGTTACAACATAAATTTGTTAATACTTAATAACAAAATATATTTATAAATTTTGTTTAACAATAAAGTATCTTTTAAAATAAATTTTCTATTTTATCATATTCTTTTATTAACTCGTCCAATTAATTTTTGTTTCAGAAAAAGAAATTAGAGGAAAGAAAAGTTTGTTTCCTTTTAAAATTTGGCCAAATTTCTTGCGTGGACAGATTTCATTGTCGAAGGCAACTATTTTCCTGGACCTTGATGAGAAGGAAAAATTAAATATTTTCTTTTGAGAAAAATGTCCCTTGAATAATATAAGAACAATGTTGTGTTTTCCGAACAATAATTAAGATGATGGTGATGATGATGATGATGACGAAAAAAAAGCTATCAAGGTTCGTATTTATTTTTTCTCTTTTCTTTTTGTTTCAAATTCACAGTTATTGTTTAACCCCATTTATCGTGACAAAGTCACGCTGTAGTTCCGTTTAAAATTAAACTCTCACACATGGGTTAAATGTAAATTCTCTCCTAGACCTCTGTCTTTCACCATAATTTAATTTACCATCCCAAGACCTAAGAGAATATATACATATTCATGAGTGAGATGACAATTTCTTTCTTCCATTTTTTTTAATTCTCCATTCACTAACTTATCATTCAAATTTAGAAAAATACAATATTTTTGGTTCTTTACTTTTAGAAAAGAAACGAATTTTTTGTCAAAATATATATGCATTCTTTGAATTATAGTTTTAATTAAAAATGAAGTATTAAAATTACCAACATAGTTATATAAAAATTTAAATTATTATTTTGATTTAAAAATAAATTTTTCTTTAATTTATAAATAAATAAAAATAAATTTTTCCCTTGACGAACAGAAATTTATAAATTCTCTTTAGAAAAAAATTGTTCTTTATATATTTTTTTGAAGTATTAAAATTTTTAATTACAATTTAAAAAATCCAAAATTCAAATTAATTTATTTAAAAAGATTGATATACATTTTTTTTTAATAAAACTTAGGATGTTAGATATTTTTTCGTGAGATTTTCGCATGAGTGCAAAAAGAAAAAGAAATTCTGGAGACATTCGTGTGTCTCACCTACTTCCTTCTTTTTTTTGATGATGAAAAGAAATAATTATCCCTCCCAACAAGATGACTTTAAAAAGAACTCAAAAAAAGGAGAAAATTATTCGTTGAGTTATTTGTGTTTAAAGATGCGCCCTTAATAAGATGCTAATTAGAATCAGAAAACTTCCAGATGAACTTTCTCTCTTTCAAGTGAACATAAGCAGTTAAATGCAAAAAGAGTCGATTTTCTTTGATTCGCAATTTTTTTCTTTAATTCTCTACCTTTGATATCAACAATTTTAAAACATTTAATATTAAAATAAAAATAATGATAATATTAATAAAAAAAAATAATAATATTAAAATAAAATAGTATATTTGAGTAAATTGAAAATTGAAAATTGAAAATTTAAAATTTAAATAATATTAGTATGAAAATTAAATCTAGAAACTAATTAATTAAATTAAGAAATTAATTATGAATTAGTCAGTCCAAACTGAATTTTTAGATAATAAATTAAAATTTGTTATTTTTAAATTTTAACTGGTCATGTTTTGAGTTTTCTGATTTTAATAATAATAAAAATTAACAATTTTTTTGTTAAAAAAAAATGGCAAAGGGCGCTTACCAAAATTATTTTGAAATTATTTTTGCGTGCTCTTGGAAAATTTAGAAAACAAAAAAAAAATAAATAAATAAGAACAGGTTAATATTTTGAACTACTAACACTAAAGCTAATTTTTTTCTCTCTCGAAATTTTACATATAATGGCGAGTGCCTAATCTTCGTCCAACGCTCCTTCTGTGCCTGCACAGTAGCTTCTTGAAAGCGCTTCTAAATTCCGGCGAGAATATTGTGTAGATCACTGGATTCAGAGTAGAATTGAAATACCTGCAAATTCCCGTGGAAATAATGCAACTGTTTCAGTTTATAACCGTTAATTCTGTAATCTATTTGATCGAGACTCTACATTGAATATTATATACATATAATTTCGAGACATTTCAATTAAATAGGAAATATTCATTATTCTCTCCATAGTACGTGTACTATATATAGAGATATTAATATTAAATTCCTGTAGCTTGACAATTTGGCGAAAATTAATTATATTTCTACAAAGACATTCTTTTTTTTTTTGAAAAAATAATTACTTGAGGGAAAGAAAAAATTATTTTTTGATTTAAATAGAGAATTTTGAGAAAAAGTATACTAGAGTTAAATGTTAATTAAATTCATGTTTATTAAATCACGAGGGAGAATTTTTTAAATTAACAAAACTTTTTCGTAAATTATTTTTTGGTTTAAATAGAGAATTTTGGCGAAAAAATACAGTTAAATGTTAATTAAATGAATTACGAGGGAGAATTTTTTAAGTTAACAAAATTTTTTAGTCGTAGGTAGAGTATCACTTTAGTGTCCCACTTAAACAGTTTTCAGTGGGCATTTTACTTGAATAGTAAAAATTGTTAAATTATTTGTTTGAAATGAAAAATCTTGTTTCTCGTTTGCAGTATTTTTACATATCAATATTTTTTTCCTTTTCTTTCTTTTTTTTTTGAAAAATAGTAACATTTTTTGAAAATTACAACACTTTTTAATGAATACAGTAATAATTGGTTAAGAGAGACACGAAAAGTGGATGTTTACTCCGATTTAAAAAAGGTTATCGATTAATTTTTGTTATGCCAAGGCAAGATTTTTGTCAAGCAAGAGAAATAATTTTTGTAGACAAAATTTTCCTTTTTAACCAGTTGTCCCAATTTTACAGGTTTTTGTGTATTTAACTTGTAATTTGAAAATTTAATCATTAATTAAATGATTAATTATTGAACTATTAAATAAATTAATTAATTTAATAATTACTAAGTACCCTTTAAGTTTTAATTAGTAAAAAATAAAAATCTCTACTAATTTGAATTAGTGACTGACTTTTTGCTTTTGAATTAGTAAATTTTATTAATAAATACTGATTTGAGAGAAAAGTCAGGGAAAGTAAAATTGGTCAGGGAAATCAGGGAAAAGTCAGGGATTTTTAGTAAAAGTACTGGAAAAAATTGAATTTTTAAAATTTATGAGAAAAATGTGAATTTTGATGTTTTTTTTTTTTTTTTTTGACTCGTAAACTATGAAATTACCACGAATTTTAATATAAAACCTTTAATTTTTTCTGCTTCTGACAATAATTTCTTTTTAAATAACTTAATTTTTCAAGAATTATCATAAAATTATGACTTATAAATTATTTAATGAATAATTTTTACAATTTTCATAAATACTAGATTGATAGAAGAATGTTAGTTAAAAATACTAAAAAAAATTGAATTTTGGAAAAGTAACAAATGATTCCTAAAATTCAATTATTTTCAAAAGTTATAAAAATTCTTCCCAGAATTTCAATTATGTTCAAAAATTAAAAAAAAATCTCGTCAAAATTTCAATTATCTTTATAAATAATAAAATTCTTCACCTAAATTCAATTATTTTTATAAATTTGGATAAAATTCGTTGCAAGAATTTAATTATTTACATAAATACCTAAAAAAATTCAATTATTCAAGAAATTATTTATTTTTTAATTTAAATAATTGAATTCATCTAGAATTTTCTTATAAGAATTGATTTAAAAATGAATTACCAAATAATCGATTTATTATATAATTATAAAAATAATTGAATTCTTGCAACGAATTTTATTATACATTTTTTTTAAATAATTGAATTTTTTGAGAAATTTTACTACTTGTAAAAATAATTGAATTCTTGCGAAGGATTTTATTAGAATTTTTGTAAATAATTAACTTTTTTTGGAAAAATTTTATAGTAATTTAAATTATTACAAAACATGAAGAAGGCGATCACTTCGAGTCGAAGACTCGGAGTAATCGCCTTCTTCATGTTTTGTAACAATTTTTTATAAGTTATTGAATTTGAATGTTTTGAAGAATTTTAATTGCTACGGAAAAATAATAATGATTAAATATTTATTTAGAAAAGAAGTTATTATTGGTGTTTTCGAATAATTTTACAATTAAAGAAATTCGCAAATAAATGTATTAGAACATTTTTCTCAGTATCTATAATAAATTTTATTAGAGTTAATCAGAATATTCTTTAGGGTCAGGGAAAAGGGGTAAATTTTGTCTGGAAATCAGGGAAAAGTTAGGGGGAAATAAAATTAAATATTTGTGGTAACCCTGATTATTAAATTACTAAATAAAAAAAATTGTTATAAATTATAAATTTAATAAATATTCAGTAAATTCTTTCACAATTATTTAATAAATTAATTTTTACAATTCTTTGTAAATTAACTAAAGAAAAATTAAATTATTTGAAGAAAAATTTTGTTAGAAAAAATTTGGTAATTTTGTTTTAACTATTTAGTTAATTTTTAATAGTTGATTAATTTATATAATAATTAAATTAATAAATTAATAGTTAAATCTATTTCCAGTTCAATGTGTATGTATAGTTTAATTGTAGAAAAATTAAATTATCGCAATAACATGGCGAAATTAATTGCGTAAAAAGAAATGAAATAATCAAGGAAAAAGGGAAAATTTAGTAAATAATTTCCATTGGAAAACTTACCCGAGCCATTGAAAAAAGGCTATTAGATGATCACTGATATTACATGTCTTACACATTGGTAGTAAAATGGCTAAGACAAAAAATGGTAGCCAGCAAACGACGAATGCACCGGTGATTATTGCTAATGTTTTCGCCGCTTTTCTTTCGCGTTTCGATTCGGCGGCTATTTTTTTCCTACGAATTGTTACTGGTCGTGGTGATGCATCCGTCGGTGGATCTGGCTCCAGACCATTGTGATACGAAGTTTTTTCCGGTGACGTATTAGCTGAACTTGCGGTCGTCAATACCGTGTTATTCGTCGTAGTGGTCGTTTCTGGAAACAATGCAAAAAAAGAGAAAAAGTTACATTTTTTTCTCTATCTCTCTTTTTTCAATTTGCAAAATGTGATTTAAAAAATGTTTTTTAGATAAAGCTTTAAAGTTTAAAGTAAGGGATTAGGGGTCTTGTTTTTCAATTAATGCTTTTTGGGACTGAAATTAAAAGTAAAACAATTTTTTTTTGTGGGAATAGTTGGAAAAATTGTTGTTTGTATTAATTTTTCTGATTTTTGTTAGGAGATTTATTTTATGTTCATTGTAAATTATAATTTATAGCAATTGTTTTCAACAATTTTTAAATCTTTTCTTCCAAGGGTTAAAAACAGTTATTTTTCTCCCTAGTGTTCAAGGAGTTTAGTTTCCTTTTTAAGAAGTTTGTTAATATTTTAACCATTATTATTATTTTTATGATTATTACTATTGTTAGGTATTATCATTTTTATTTATATAATTATATTATCATCTTTGTTATTATTTTTTTATTTTACGTAGAAAACTCAAGCTTTATTGTTTATTAACATTACAATTGGATTTCATTTCTTTTTTTTTTTTTTGTTTTTGACGAATGTAAAACAACGACGATTAAATTGGCTCTTTAGGGAAGACTTTAAAATTTTCGTGTCATTTAACTGTAATTTGTAGCTTTGAAAACCGCTTTTTTTTTTTATTCTGCACATGGAAAATTGGGTTGAATAGAACTGTGGACCCTTTTTGGCGCGCTCTCAACGGTTTAATTAATCTTCAAAGTATCTTAGTTTTGTGCTTCCTTTTTTCAGCGAGAGATCAGGATACTTTGAAATTAAAGACTAAAAAATTTAACTTTTATTTTTCCACTTTAACACGTCTTTTCTTTTGCCCTTTTTTCACTGTAAATTATGAAGTAGCAACATTTTCCTACTCACTTTGATAAGATTTCATGAAAAAAAATACATTTACAACTAAGGGAGAAAGTAGAATATTTAGTATATATTAGAAAAAAAAAGTGAATAGCCGAATGAGAAAAAAATTTTTTTTTAAACTTTTGCAATTGAAATACATTAATTATTGACGCTCACTTGAAATTCTTCGTAATATGATATTTCTCTGTTATTTATGAAAATCCAGAACCACTGAGGGTCATTTTGACCTACTTCCTCTATTTAGGATTAATAATTTACTATATATGTACTGCATTGAATTTCATTTGCGATGAGCTTAATGTACAGTACAATACGATCTATGGTTTATGATTAAAAATTAATGTCAAGTTAAGCGTGGATTGTATCATGTGCTGTATCTGAATTTTGACAAAGGGAATTTTTCGTCACCTTCTGTTATTTTTTAATGTTTTGCTTTTTATTCCAGAATGTATAGATTTTATATGAATTTAATCAAATTTTAATATTAATATTAATTTTCATTTAATTAAATTTTTATTGAATACATTTTTTATTTGAATAAATTATTCCAGGTTAGGCGTAGTCATTAAGGCGTTTGCCATTTTCATTACATAGCTCAATGGTTCGTTACCCTTCAAAGATGAAAAAAAAAAAAAAAAATTTCTTCCATTTCTTTCAATTTAATTAATTTAATATTTTCTTTTAATAAATTAAATTTCATTACATTTAGTTAGATTTTAATTAAATTATATTATTTAAATAATTTATTGAATAATAAATTCAACGTACAAAATAAGAATTGTAAATATAATCGTGATTGAATGCAAAAAAGAAAACTTGGATCTTAATCCAAAGAATCACTTATTGAGACCAATTAACGGATTGATTCGACTAGTATTATTGAAATCTCAAGATTAAATTGAAAACAGCATATAGTAGATATATAGAGAGAGAGAGTGAGAGGGGAATAGAGATAGTTGAATCTCAGTGGACCTCGATAATAGTGCATTTTCCCCAGGAGTAAAATGCCACAGTTACGTTTACGCGTTGTACCTACCCGTTATTGGATTAATAGGTTGCACTTTGAGTAGCTCTTACCCCCTATATGTGCATGTACTGGGTGTGCAAATTGAATGTGCAATATTCTCAAGTTTATTAATCGCACTTCCTCTCACATTATAGGCACATGCTGTGCTTAACGTGACCGTTTTTCATCTACGTCGAGTTCAATTCTCATTTCTGAACGATAAAATAAACAGCATCCTGCTTCTCTCTAAACATGGCTTGCATTAAAGTTTGTTATACACAATGCATTCATTAATTACATTCCAGATTTACTAACACACGTTGCAAGTTGCAAAATTATTTTTCATTTTCAATATCAACTTTCTATTTTTAATATTAAATTCCTATTTTAGTATACAAAATTTAAAGGACTCTTATTTTGAGAGTTATTTTTTAATGATCAACTTATAATTACTTTTTTTATTCAAAAGTTAATTATTTTTCATGTAAGGAACGATTGGTATTGTTTCTTTAGGAGAAAATCCGCTCCAAGTTTTCGTAATATCTTTAGTGTTGTAGTTTGTACAAATTCCAAGAAAGTTCGAGCAGTAGTTAATTGTTCTCTTCTTAACGTTTAGTTGCAATCGAGTTAAACTGAACAAAAAAATTGACAGTTCTTGTTTCAGCGTTTAGTATTTCCTCAACCACAATTGAAGGATTATAATGGACTCTAATTCTAGTCTCGGTGTTACCTAACCTTCTCTATCAGGTTACAACTTTATATTATCTAGTTTATTAGTAGTGGAAATAAGAACGTTGGGATTTTTTTTATTACTTTCACGGCAAAATGTAAATCAATATTTATAAAACTGCTGATATCGAATAGAAAAATTATAGCATCAGACTCAAAATATACCCAGAGCTTTTTTATATTTGTCACGCGATTCTATTCACGGTAATGTGACACTAAAGCGATTTAGATCTTCTTCTACATCCCTTGGATTTTTAGAAATAAGACTTTTCGAACAAAATACTATTTTTCAGAAGTTAGTGTCAATCGCTGTATGTTATTAAAGACAATAGTTATTGTTTATAATTTTTTTCCTACTCAGGAACAACATCTGAAAATAGGGACCAATTGTAACGATTTCTACCTTCATAGATATTAATTGGAATTGTTCTAGCAATAGTTTGGGACCGGTAAAAAATTTAAGTACTTAAAATTGTTAGTAAACAAAAGATAAAGGTCAATCAAAAATTAATTTTTCATCTTCTGCTAATTATCGGCTGTGGTTACTTTTTATGAAATGTGAATTTAATAATTTTGATGACCCAGATATTAATTGGAATTGTTTTAGCAATAGTTTGGGACAAGTTAATAATTTTAGTACTAAAAATTGTTAGTAAACAAAAGATAAAGATAAATCAAAAATTAATTTTTCATCTTCTGCTGATTATCGGCTGTGATTAGTTTTTATGAATTGTGAATTAAATTATTTTTTATGACCCAGATATTAATTGGACTTTTTATATAAATAATGTTTTTATCTCATTGCCACATAAAAATCTCTAAGGAAGAAAAAGTTTTTGTTTGAAATTCTTCTTAAGTTTTTGGTATTTCGAAGTTTATAGAAATTTTTAGAGCTGATGATGTGTTATTGGACCAGAAATTTTTTTAATTTTTGAATGGATTTTCATAATTATTGACCTGAAATATCCTGGAAAAATCGTGTTACTTTCTATTTATCATTTGTGGCTCTGAGACAAATATATTTTTTCTGAGTGTATAAGCGCTGTTATAATTATATTGTTTTCGCTTTTGTATTATATAAAACAAGCCTAAAATAATATAGGATAATAACAAATTACAGTCTAATGTAATTATAAATATATAATATAATTATAAGTTGTAAATGCACCGAAAATAATGCTTTTAAGAATAGTGACGCGTTTTTTTTTATTTGGCAAATTATTTCGCTATTCAACATATGTAAGTTTAGTTATTGGTGTTAATATGACTATCTTACCGGATAATGTGGGTAAGGGTCGACCGATAACAGCAACAACCGCAGCTGCAATTCCTCCGGAAGTTTGAGCTTGAGCCAACGCCCCTCCAACGGCATGTGTACCCCCTATCTGTCTGGGTGGATCACCCATTGACCTTGTTACACCTGCAATTCAAAGAAAATAAAAATTCACCTTAAATTTCTGATATACACATTCTTTAGAGATGTTTTTTTTTCTTTTTGCCTATTCGAGAAAATTTCCAAAAGAATGCAATTCACTTTGTATCGTTCTTTTAAATATTAATCTTCATTGTTAGGAGTTTCTCGTTTTTCTGATATTGCTTTTCGTCTCATGTGATTCAATTTTTTCTTTTATTTTTTGTTTTGCTCTTGATTGTTTTCTATGTTAGTAACCGTTTTTTATTATGTAAAGTGAATTTTCTTTTTCATTCGTCAGAAATATTGGAATATTATACACATTTTTTTATTGAGAGAGAAGAAACATTTTTTATTTTTTGAAAATTCGAAAAATGAGGGAGAAATTTATTGCTTTTTTGGAACAAGCATACTTTTATTTAATTGAAATAAATTTTGTTTGGTTTAAATAAAATTTTTCTCTGAATAAAATAATAGTATATTTATGACAGAGTCTACTAAATTATTTGTTTTAAATAACAAAAATTTATTTCGCATAAAAATAGAAATTTTATTTTAACTAAATATATTTTTATTTAAACTAAATATATTTTTATTTGAACTGAATATATTTTTATTTGAACTGAATATATTTTTATTTGAAACAAATATATTTTTATTTGAACTGAATAATATTTTCATTTGAATCAAATAAAATTTGTTTAAAAGAAAAAAATAATTTTGTAGGCTGTGAGACAAGTATGTAGAGAATAATATCGAATATGTGACGCGCTCCCAAGAAAGGTACCTAAGAAGCAAACGAATTACAGGTTGGGTTCGAGTTAGATTTATCTTGATTAAAAGTTAATTTTTAATTATTTGAATTTGAAACCAATATTCATTGAATATTTTGAATATAGTGAAAACTTGAAGACCAAAAATTTTTAATTAATAATTGATTCTCTTTCTGTATTTTTAATTACAAAATTTAAAACATAACCTCAAATTTTTTGCTTCTTAGGTACCTTTCTTGGGAGCGCGTCACATATTTTAAATATAAAATATTATTTGTTTGTAATTTTAATTTTTTAATGGAAAATTTCTCACCTTGGGCAGGAGGTTGTCCTGGTTTTCTTCGAATACGTTTACGCGCCGTTTGAAATATTCTCCAGTAAAGCACGAGAATGACAAACAAGGGAAGATAAAATGATGATGCGGTTGCAAATATCTGAAATGCAAATTAAAATATTGTTTGCATTCCGTTATACACATAAATTTTTTCAAACTGACATACTTAATTATTTATTTTGAGTAGCTATTTACCACGAGACTAGAAAATTTGTTTCCCTACCAAATTTTTTTTTATTCTCTACCTAACGCAATGTACACTATTTATCAATTTGAATGCATTTTATTAGTATTTTTTGTCGCAAAATTTTTTCCAACAATTTAAATTTACATTTCATAGAATTAATTGCATTTTTTTATTTAGTAATAAAAAATTTAGTTCAAATCTAAATTGTCTTTTAAATTTAGATGGAAAAATTATTACAATTAATTATGGGAGTAATAATTTTTGTAATTTTGTTAATTTTTTAAATATTTTTAATTATTAAATGGATTAAATTTGATATTTTTGACTCAAATCATTTTTAAAGAATACAAAATTTACAAACAATCTCGAAAGTGATTGTTTCACAAGTTTACGTGCGAGAGAAAAATTTGTTCGTTTTAAAAATACGATAACTTTAAGGTGTGTGGGTATAATTTATTTAGAGTCAATTTCTTAGAAATCTATGGGAGAAAAAAGAAACTTTGGAAGAGACGGGGAAATTTATGATTGGAATATCTTTCACGATTATCTTGCTTGTGTTTATGGCATTTAGTAATAAATTGTAGACGATTTCAGTTTTATGGTATAAATATAGATTCTTAGATCCTAGAGTGAAAATTCTTTCTTTTTTGAAGAAGTTTATTTTATTATAAAGAACGTTTAGAAGCAGGTGTGCATTTATCTGATTAATCGTGACTGATAACGAATGACGATGTTTGTAAAATTAACAATTCAAAAGGGTTACGTTAATCCAGAAGATACATTAACATATCAATATTGTTGCTGCATTATCTATCGCCTGGATTATAGTTCATAATCCCGAGCGATGAATTATCGTAGCTTAATATTATGAGATATATCCTTATGAGTTTTACTCTAATGCATATAGTATATTTATGATCCTTTTTTTGGGGGGAAATTAATTTTCTTTTTTCCAACCGCAAATTACGATTGGAAATCAGAAATATTTTTATTTAAAATTTGAATTTAAATTAATATTTTTTTTCAGTAATTTTGAACTATTTACGATCCATTCTTCATTTCAAAATTAATTCTCGTTTTCCCAACCGATCGAAATTTAAATTCATTATAATTCTAATTAATTTTCACTTCGATTAATTTAAATTATAGTTTGTTAAGTGCATTTGAGCAATTATGACGTCACATTTTGTGCAAAGCATGTGTTCTAGAACTGTGACGTCATAATTGCTCAAATGCCCTTAAAATTACAATTTAATCAGATTTTAACTTTAATTCTCTATTTTCCCAAACGTTAATATTGTGATTGGTGATTAAAATTTGATAATTTTTTTTTAAGTAATGAATACAGGAGAGGATAATTAAAGTAGATGGATAGTAGTTGTTACTTTTTACGGTATTTTTTCTGTCTTTTTTCGCATATTACCAAACAAGGGTGAATAGAAACGATATAGGAAGTGATTTTTTTCCCAGGAATAATAATAAAAAACTGTTTCATGCCTTTTTAACGACATTCCACCCGTTATTGGTTAACTCGATCCGAAAGTAACGAAAATGTATACATATATACATTCTATATAACGAGATCTCGTTATAAATATATATGTGCGCTCGTTTGTATATCGCCTCGGTTCATATCTCCGAAATATTTAATAAAAGTTAACGTGGGTTTTTTTTGGGAAAAAAAGAAAGAGAAAACCGCATGGTTATTAATATTATTCGGTGATGAACAAAGGAGGGAAAGGAAATTTTTATTAAATTATTCTTTTACTTCTACCATTCAATCGTTTGGATAGATATAAAACATATTTTTCGGACTCACTCGTTTATTACTTTTTGACACTATTTTCCTTACATGCAATTATTTAACTATTCCTATTGAAATAAATTACTAGTGACACTTATTTCGTTAAAAAAAATACTAATGGTACTGTTTCCTAAAATGAGATTTTGATTATCAATTTATTTAGTGAGGAAATTAATTCTAAGACTAAAAAAATTAAAGACGATAAAAATATCGATAAAATCTAATTAAAAAATTACGAACAAATTGAGATTCAATATGGACACGCTACTCTTCACCTGAGAACGCCAAGGTCACCGCTAGATAGCAGTTTTCCTTCTTGGAATTTTCACTGACATCTGGTGGTGATCTTGGCGTTCTCAAGTGGAGAAATTAAACCACAATTATGTTTTTATTATTTATTATTATAAAATTGTTTTATATTATTTTTATTTTATGTAAAAAAAGTTTTTATGAAGAAACACAATTTTTAGATTGAAATTTTTTTTGAAAAGAATTGAAATGTAAACAAAACATTGGATATTATTTTATCAAGATAATTTTTCTATGACGAAAAAAAATGTTCGTAAAATGAAATCATCCTGTTGTTTCAAAAAAAATTTCATTCGAGAATTTTAATTAAATAATCAGTTTTGAAATTTGATTTCATAAATACTCGGTGAAATTTTAAATATTTCGACAAATATTTTACTATAAAGTAGGTCAAAAATGTATGACGTTAATCGCATTTGTTTTTTCCAGGAAGATTAAAATGTAAATTTTGAAAAATAATATAAAAAAATGCATTTTTTGAAAGTTTGTTAACTACTCTATAGAAATAAAAAATAGACAATAATTAAATAGTTCAGTATACTTTTTTAAGGGGGTTGAAAATTCTCCTTCCACAATTATTATTATTATTAGATTCGTTTTTTCATATAAAAAGAGTTTTTCAATTGCTTGAAAATTAAATTTTAAAATTTTGAATCTTGAAAATTTTCTACTTGCTTGTGGAAAATATAAAATAGAAATAAATTTGAATCTAGAGTCGAAATGGAATAAAGTAAAAATTGAATGTGTAGAGATAGAATTTTTCTAAAAGTATCAAATTGAGACAAAAAATTTGTCAAAATTGATGCGATACAATGTTTTGATAATTTGATATCCTTAGAAAAACTGTGTTAACGTAAATTTTTTTTTTTTAATCATAAAAAATTCTTTTTTACGTAAACAGAAGGGAAGTAGGAGATGGAATTTCTGAAAGATATTATTCAAGTTAAATATTCTTAAATATTTTGCCAAATTCAAAATATTTTTTGAGGAAAAATGAAATATCGGGTATTAATTTTTTAAAAATATTCTTGTGTGTTGCCTTTTATTATATAATATATATAATATATATAATATATAGTAAAAGTTCTGATGCGATCAAAGAGGAGTGTCCTTTCATGTGCTCTAATGCACGAAATAAATTTCCTATTGCTTATATTATGTGGCATTAATGCTTTTATGGGAAGTACACGCTTGGTCCATTAAATTCCATGCATTAGTTTACGAATTCCTTTTCAAGAAGACGCGCGAATTTATTATATATATTAAATCTTATTATCTCAATAAACCCTCAGATTTGTTTTTCTTTCGGAAATTTTAAAGTCGACGATTTTATTGAATTTCTGGTAATTCTTCTTTTTATTACGAATTCGTGTATAGAGTAGTTTTTTCCTATTTAGCATGTAGTATTTTTTCCTAATTAGTAAATATAATATTTTTCCCCTAATTAGCATGTATTTTTTTCCTAATTATACTAAGAAAAACTTTTTTAAATCCATAATAAGTAGTCAACTTTAAAAAGAATATGCTTAAATTAAACATATTTTATAATTGAATTAAACGTTATTATTATTGAATAAAACTTATTATGTGTGGAGTCAAAATTATTATGTTTAATTCAAAAATATGGTTTTATTGGTATTATATTTTAATATTAAATTTTACTATTTTTGTAGGACTTTTTTAATATAATAAAAATTTTGATTAATTATTTTTAACAAATTTACTAACTATGGATAGAGATAAAAAAATATCAATAATTAACATAAAAGGTTTAACAGAAAAAATAATTTGATTTAAAAAAGATGAAGTTAAAAGAAAAAGTAAAAAAAATCTCTTTAAAATAAATTTTATGCGCTTTAATACAATATTTTTTACTTAATTAAAAACTTCCTCTTTTTTTTAACTGAATCCTCTTTTTGAAAAATAAAATTCCTTTTACCTAAATATTACATGAAAAAATCACTGTGATCCCTGCAATTGGAATTGACGTTTGAAAAAGAATTGATTAAATAAATAATTGGCTACGCTTTTTGTTTTCTTAAAAGAAAAATGTTTCACAAACATTACCTGATATCCAATATCCTGACTGACAACACATGATTTCTCATCGATTACTCGTGTTTCCCAATGCGGGTCTTTCCATCCAAGTAATGGAGCAATGCACACGAGAAATGCTACCAACCAAACGACTGCTATCATTACGCCAATTCTTCTACCCGTTCTATGATGAATGTAGTCTATATTCGTGATCGCCCAATATCTGGAATTAATTAGAAAACATTAATTGACTCATTAATTTTTCTTGAATACATTTTTATCGAATACTTTTAACAACGAACAATGAAATTATTAAAGTGTTTGAAAAAAGCTTATTTTATATATTTTAAAATACTTTAGTTACACTTTAGTTGTAATTTAGATTAAAATACTTTTGTTTCAGTTTCAGGAAACTCTTTTAAAAAGATTTTTTAATAATTGAATTATTCGTTCAGTTTTCGTTTTTTAATAATTAATTGATTCGTATAGTTTCTGTTTCTAATAATGAAATTATTCGTTTAGTCTCTGTTTCTACAGTTACATTCATTAGAATTTATTTCTTGTTCTGACAATGAAATTTTTAATTAGCTTTAGGTGTTAAACAGTTGGTGACGATTTTGATGTGTTTTGAATAGATAAACTTCATTGGCAATCGTGATTAACAGCTCCACTAAATCTGGTTACGCTCAATTTGAATAACTGACGAGGCAGTGCGCGATGCCACATAAAGCAGACTATCGCGAAATTTTGCACTAACCATTGTTCCTGCTTGATGTCAATTTTGTTGACGTAAATTTAATATTCCTTTTTTTTTCTTTTTTTTTTGAAAAAGAGTAATTTCAATTTATTAATATTGTCGAATTTCTCTTTTTTATTTCAATGGCATAAAATGGTTCTTATATTCGATTTAGTAATTTAGAGGAAAATTGATTTTATTCTTTATTTTTGAATATATATAAAGGTTTTTAAATATTGACAAAATATTAATTAAATGTTTAGTAGAAATGAAAGAAGGAAATTGAAATTTCGAGAATTAATGATTTTTGGAAAATGAAAAAATTGGAGTATTTACATTGAAATGTTAAAATGTAATTTAATTAAAATTGTTCTTTGTTTTGTATATTTATATATTTGATTTAATTTATGTATTTTATTTTAGCTTCTGATATTTAATTTATTTTAGCTTATTGATATTTTATTTCATTAGCTGTTAATTAAAATTGTAATAATTTATATATTTTGTATGTTTAATTGTTTATGAATTTTATACATTTTATACATTTTATATTTCAGGTGGAACGTAAATTATTTTTTCCGGATAAATAAACAGTTTGTTACATAACTACTACTTGAAATTATAAATCTTCATTAGCAGACCAGATTAAATAACCACTAATTTCTAACTAATGGAGAATTCATCACACCAGGAATTATGTGAGTACAAATATTTACTAGTGTAATTATAATTCTTCTCTGTATTATAATTAACATAATTTTCTGTAATTATGTAACATAATTTTCTGACTACGTTACTGAAATTCTAACGTAAATTATTTTACTACTCTCAGATTATTCCTTTGAAATGTTTTTCATTTTTTTTTTTTTTATAAAAAAGACATATTTTCTATTTGCGACATTATTCGGAGCAAATACACATTTTTTTATTGCTTATACATTTTGAAATTGATTTGTTACTACTGCTTTTTTATTTTGGTTGGTCTTTTAACGCTTCGATAAAACAGTGAATTGTTCGAGATTAGTAAGTCGATAAATCGATGCTAACACGTTTGCTGGTCATTCTGATTACATGGTTCAACTGAAAATGTTTACAGGTCAATGCAAAGTATATAATGCCATCAAAAACGTGTATATTTGCTTCACTGTGAAAATAAAAAAATTTTTTTACTACGAATTTCAATTTTGAACGAATTTGATTTTGTTTTCTTGAAAAATTATTTAGTGAAAAGAATAATTATTTAGGAAAATAATAATTATCTTTGTTTGGTTATTAAATGGCTTGAATTTGGTATTTTCGACCCAAATTGTTAGTTAGAACTAACTAATAATGAAAAATAAATAGTTAACATTTTTAAACTAACTCATTAGGTTTTGTAGCCTAGTGGTCAGGGCTCTCGACTTGTGACGCGAAATTCTGAGTTCGATCCCAGTCGTTTGGTAGATAGATTTTTCTCTTGACAAAAATTGTTTTAATTGATTCGTGTAAATCTAAAATTAAGATTGCATTAGAAATATGAACTTTAATATAAATTATAAAGTAAAAGTCGATATAAAATAAAATATAAAAATATAAGTAAATAAAAAACAGCTGAACGTAGAAAAATAAATAAAAAACTAAAAATAAATAAATAAATAAAAAGTAAACATACAAAAATAAATTTTTAAAAATAGAGATACAGAAAATGAATAAAAAATAAATAAAGTATATTAAAAACAAAAAAAAAGAATTAATTAAAAAGCAAATAAAAATATTAAAATAAATATAGAAACAAGCGGAAAAAGAAAAAATGATAAGAAAATAATAAGAACAGATAAAAAATAAAATGAATAAAAATTAGAAATGAATAATAAATTAAAAATCAATATAAATAATTAAGTGGAAATAAGTATGAAATAAATAAATTACCAATAAAAATAAGAAAATAGAAAATACTAATAATAAACAATGAATTTTAAAAAATAAATAAAATTGAAAAATAGAAATAAATGAATTCAAAAAGAAATTCAATAAACAAATAAAAATAGAAAACTAATATGAAATATAGTAAAAATTTAAAAAATTTGAAAAATAGAAGTAATTGAATTAAAAAGTAAAATAGAAATAAATAAAAAATATAGAATTAAAAAAAATTGTGTGATAATTATTAGTCGAGACTTTGAGACAGCTAAATAATAGATTGTCCTCGAGTATATTTATTGCTCCTGACTTTAATAGTTTAATAGAACGAGAATGTTGAAAGATCTGAGTAAACTTGGCAAATACATAGAGGAAGGAAGAGAGAGAGAGAGAGAACGTTGTTCATTGGACGTGCACACGGGATGTTAAGTTCTTGTAACACACGAAACAATGAAACTGCTGACGTTCTCCAGTATCTCTCTCTCTATTTCTCTCTGAAATATCTTTCATCTAGTATAATATAATTATTAATAATATATATTATTATTTAAATCACTATAATTATATTATTAATAATATAATTTCTACTATTAATAAATATTTAATAAATAATTATTTTTAATACATTATAAAAAGCGTAAGTTTCCTTTCCGTTAGCAAATTATCTACATTCATTTGTTTGTTTTGAAAATTAAATTTTCTGGGTTAAGTATTGGCATTTTTTAAATATTTTTTAATGTCAAACTTTTTAATGTGAAAAATACTTTACTTATTAAATTGTCTCGACTCTTTGGTAAAAAATCTAAAATTATCGAAAATTCGAAAAAATTCAAAAATCCGTTTTTCTCAAAATTCAACATTTTTTCCTCTCTTTTATGGGATTTAGCTTCATTATTTTTGTGCTTTTGGAAAATACTTTACTTATTTAATAGTTTCGACTCTTTGGTTAAAAATCTAAAATTATCGAAAATTCGAAAAAATTCAAAAATCCGAATATCTTAAAATTCAACATTTTTTCCTCTCTTTTATGGGATTTAGCTTCATTATTTTTGTGCTTTTGGAAAATACTTTACTTATTTAATAGTTTCGACTCTTTGGTTAAAAATCTAAAATTATCGAAAATTCGAAAAAATTCAAAAATCCGAATATCTTAAAATTCAACATTTTTTCCTCTCTTTTATGGGATTTAGCTTCATTATTTTTGTGCTCTTGGAAAATACTTTACTTATTTAATAGTCTCGACTCTTTGGTAAAAAATCTAAAATTATCAAAAATTCAAAAATCCGATTTTCTTAAAATTCAACATTTTTTCTTTTCTTTTATGGGATTTAGCTTCATTATTTTTGTGCTTTTAGAAAATGCTTTACTTTTTAAATTGTCTCGACTCTTTGGTAAAAAATCGAAAATTATCGAAAATTATCAAAAATTCAAAAATCCGAATTTCTTAAAATTCAACATTTTTTCCTCTCTTTTATGGGATTTAGATTCATTATTTTTGTGCTTTTGGAAAATACTTTACTTATTTAATAGTCTCGACTCTTTGGTAAAAAATCTAAAATAATCGAAAATTCGAAAAAATTCAAAAATCAGAATTTCTTAAAATTCAACATTTTTTCCTCTCTTTTATGGGATTTAGCTTCATTATTTTTGTGCTTTTGGAAAATACTTTACTTATTTAATAGTTTCGACTCTTTGGTTAAAAATCTAAAATTATCGAAAATTCGAAAAAATTCAAAAATCCGAATATCTTAAAATTCAACATTTTTTCCTCTCTTTTATGGGATTTAGCTTCATTATTTTTGTGCTTTTGGAAAATACTTTACTTATTTAATAGTTTCGACTCTTTGGTTAAAAATCTAAAATTATCGAAAATTCGAAAAAATTCAAAAATCCGAATATCTTAAAATTCAACATTTTTTCCTCTCTTTTATGGGATTTAGCTTCATTATTTTTGTGCTTTTGGAAAATACTTTACTTATTTAATAGTCTCGACTCTTTGGTAAAAAATCTAAAATAATCGAAAATTCGAAAAAATTCAAAAATCCGAATTTCTTAAAATTCAACATTTTTTCCTCTCTCTAATGGGATTTATCTTCATTATTTTTGTGCTTTTGGGAAATACTTTACTTATTTAATAGTCTCGACTCTTTGGTAAAAAATCTAAAATTATCGAAAATTCGAAGAAATTCAAAAATCCGTTTTTCTCAAAATTCAACATTTTTTCCTCTCTTTTATGGGATTTAGCTTCATTATTTTTGTGCTTTTGGAAAATACTTTACTTATTTAATAGTCTCGACTCTTTGGTTAAAAATCTAAAATTATCGAAAATTCGAAAAAATTCAAAAATCTGTTTTTCTCAAAATTCAACATTTTTTCCTCTCTTTTATGGGATTTAGCTTCATTATTTTTGTGCTTTTGGAAAATACTTTACTTATTTAATAGTTTCGACTCTTTGGTTAAAAATCTAAAATTATCGAAAATTCGAAAAAATTCAAAAATCCGAATATCTTAAAATTCAACATTTTTTCCTCTCTTTTATGGGATTTAGCTTCATTATTTTTGTGCTCTTGGAAAATACTTTACTTATT